TTTTCTTGCTTCAAGGGGTGCCTAAAAAACTAAAAAGGTTCCCATGTAGTGAATTCTGCAGAGGGACAGGGAGTTTTTATGTGGGGAGAGAGGGACAGGTTACAGGGGAACAGTTTGATTCTAAAAGGGATTTAGGTTGGATATTGGGAAGGAATTGGTGGCTGGGAGGGTGGGGAGGGGCTGGACTGGATTTCCCAGAGAAGCTGTGGCTGTCCCTGGATCCCTGGAGTGTCCCAGGCCAGGTTGGAGCACCCTGGGATAGTGGGAGGTGTTGGGGTTGGAACTGGGTGGTCTTTAAGGTCCCTTCCACCCAAACCACCCCACGGTTCTCTGATTCGTTACCCCCTGAGGAATGTTCCAGACCAGACCACTCCCCCACTCCCACGCCTAATCCCACCTCTGATTGGCTTGTTCCCAGCAGTTCGTGCTCCCTGCAGCCACGCAGGGCAGGTGGCAGATGGACACCAGGATCGACAACCCCAGTGCCAGTTCCAACCTTGCTGCTCCCGTCCCCCCCAGCTCAGCACAGACACACAGAGCCCCCAGAGCTCATTTCACACACACAGAGCTCAGCACACACACACAGAGCTCAGCACACACACACAGAGCCCCCAGACCTCATTTCACACACACACAGCCCCCAGAGCTCACCTCTGCAGCAGCACCAGGATACTGGGGAGCAGATTCTCGTTCTGGGCCCCGAACTTTGCCAGGGCACTGACGGCAGCTGGAGAGAGAACAGGGAGTGTCACGGGGGGCTCAGCTCGATTCACACACCGACACACCCCCAGCCCTCAGTCAGAGCACCCTGCGGCCCAAAATGTGCAATTTACAGCTCCCCCTCACCCCCACACACGGGCAGTGCTGGGGGAAGGCTGCAGGGTTCCTGTGCTTCCAGGGGGGAGCAGTTTGGGGGGGGATAATGGGATCAATCCAGGGGGTTTTCCTCACACAGAGGAGCTGAAACCCCTCAGCAACCCCAGTCTGATCCAACCGCAGCTCAGTGTCAGCCTGAAGGAATCCCACACCCAGGGAGAAGACAAAGATGACTGACACTGAAACAAAGGTTCTGATACTGCAACAGGGAACTCCCAAAAAAACAGGGAAGAAGCAGGGGCCCCTCCTCAGGAATTGCCTCTCAACTTCAGGACACAATCCAAGGGGGGCATAGAAGAGAATGTTACTAATAGTCTGTAAAATATTCTGTAAAAGATCCTGTAAAACATTCTGTAAAATATCTTGTAAAATGCTTCGATTCTGTAAAATATCCTGTAAAATATTTCTATTCTGTAAAAAAACTACACTCACTAAAATACTTCTATCCTGTAAAATAAAACACTGCCATTCTGTAAAATATTCTGTAAAACACTTCTATTCTCTAAAATACTTTTATTTTCTAAAACACTTCTATTTGTAAAATATTTATTCTGTAAAATACTTCTGTTCCCTGAAATACTTCTATTTTCTAAAATACTCCTATTTTCTAAAATACTTCTATTCTGTCAAATGCTTCTCTAAAATACTTGTAATCTGTAAAATCCTTT